GTTGACAAGAGGTACAGAAGAAGGTGAAGTAGCAGACCTTTGTTTAGCAATGGGATCCAGTCTCACTGTGACTCCAGTGGCCGACATACCTGAGGTCAGTGAGTATAGCGTCTCACATGATAGTCACATGATACCATCATTACAGTGTGTCGCTGAGAGAGGAGAGAAACTGGTTATAGTGAACCTGCAAAAGACACCATTGCACAGTATTGCTGCACTATGCATTCATGCTAAATGTGAGGAAGTGTCCACAATGGTAATGGAGAAGCTTGGACTGCCCATACCTGAGTTTAGATTGAAGAGAAGAGTATTCATTAAAGTGACACAAAGTACTAAAGGACCTCCTGAAGATCAGGTTTCTTTATCAATAGAAGGACAGCCTGGACAGAACATGTATGGATTCTATTTCTCATTCCTAACTGGAGTAAGTCAAGAAATTTTTTAAGCTTTGATATTTCATTTAATTTTAAAGGTTACATGTGTTTGTGGGTGAAAGACCTCAACAGTTGCAAGAGCCTTTCTTTATCAGGTTTCCATGGAGAGCATCAGCTGGTGCCTCATCAGATGAAATGAAGGCTCAACCGATGTTTCATTTTCAAGGACATTATGGTGAACCACCACTTGATAAAGAACTGATTATTAAAAAGGGAGTGAAAGGTGAAATTATGGTGATTAGTATTCCTAAATATTTCGTTTTATTATAGATATGCAGCTCAAACTATTATTGATTTATAATCCAGGAACAAGTGACTGGAGTATAGAAGATGATGCTGCTGCTGTTGTAGTTCCAACTGCAGGCATAAAGAAAATAACGCTCAAGGAATCATAAAAATTTTATGTTTAAAGAATGACAAAGATAAATGCCAATCATTGTTATTAAAAGAATATTATAACTTTAAACTATTTTTAGTTACAAAATGTCTTGCGAATTGTGTCAGCTGTAGCATTATCATTAGTAGCTGCAACAGCTTTTATCAAATTTTCCCAAGTAGCTCCTCCTTTATCCTTAACACCATCTGCAAGCTTTAACCAAACCTCAATTGTCTTTGTCAGTTGATCTTCTTTCGTAAAAGTATTCAGTGTCACTGAATGAAGTCCCAAATTAAGTCCTAGCTTGTACCAATTTGTAGTATCAAATGATTTTAGAACTTCCAGAACATCATTGAGTTTTGTTTGATCTGCACAATAATAAAAATCTTAGTGTCAGTAGTACAAGTACATACCTAGTTGTTGTTGGGGTGCTACAGTGACTGCTGTACTTGCACTTACTGTTACAGGCAAATCAGTGTGAGAAGAAATAGAAGGCCTTTTTAAAAAGATGTTATGCTTTAACAGTGGACAAGATCCTAATAATTAAACTTAAAAAATCACAATAATGATAAGTTGATGTACCATTTAATGTAGTCTCCACTTTAGTAATTTCATTTGTGATTGAAGTCTGATCAGCACAAAAAAATCGAAATCGAAGGCGGGGAGGATAAATTAGCTCTTTTTCTAAAAACCGCAATCTTTCAATATTTCTTTTAGAAACTTTCTTTCCTTTACACTCAATTACTTCATTGTAATCAACTTCGCTCTGATGAACCTGTCATTTAGTAAAATTATGAGTCTAGTTGCTGTATACCTTTTACCTTATTATCAGAATAGGTGCCTTCATTTTCTCTTTCCCAACCTAATATATCTTTATCAGGCTTAAATTCAAATGACAAATGACTATTTTGAAACTTAAAAATACCACCATCTTTTCTGAGATCATAGCCAAGCTTTTCATATTGCTTCTCAACAACCTAAAAAAATATTAAATATAAAGTAATTACCATTGCATACCTTTTTACAAGCTGGCTGAAGAGGAAAAATACAAAAGTGTACTAAAAGTGTCATATCATCATCCTCTTGCTTTTTTGCAACTGCTAACATGCACTGCTTATCAGTATCTTCATATGCTATCTTATCAACACCAACACAATGAGAGCAAAAGTGATTACAATAAATTTTGCATAATGCTGCTTCTACTTCCATTTCAGTGTCATCAACTGAAGTAAACATAAAACTGCCTTTCCTATAAAATGTTTCATCATCAGCATTTAGAAGAACTAATTTGCTTTTTGATGCTTGGTTGGTTACATCAATATGATGAGGCAAATAAAGCTCTGCTGGTTTCATCAGCTCCTGATTAATATAAACCCATACAATAGGAGTGACAGGAACATAGTCACCAAAATCAAACTTATCACTATATAAACATGCTCCAAACCATACAGTAGTTAATTCCTGTACTGCTCCTTCTGGAATAATGAGGGTTGTACCATACTTGTCACAATGATACAATAAACCATCACTGTCTACTGATAGCACTCTCAAATCACCATAAATACCTATAATATATGTATAATATATAACATTATACTAAACAGGTGTACACATACTGGTACATTATGTTTAGACATAGGAATTACCTGTCATACTTTGTAAGACACCTTCATTTGAAAAAGAAACAGCTATGCTTAATGGTTCTGCCTTTTTAGTAGAAGACAATGGGTCAATAAATTGGTCTGTGTCAACAAGTACATCTTGCTCTTCTCTATTTTTCTTTTTCAAAATCTCAATTTCTGCAACTTTTTCCCTACTCATTTTATGTATTGCTTGTAATTTTTTTTTAAATTCCTCATTAGATTCTAAGTACACATAATATATTATGGACATGCAAGCTAGAGCAAATAAAATACCTCTTAATTGCTTTAATTCATTTTTTTTCATCTGACTTGCTTGTTGTAAAGCATCTTTTGGAAATAAGGATTCTTCTCTTTGAACTATAAAAGCAAAAGGTGTCAACCATATTGATTTCAAAGTATAAATTAAAAACATAAAACAAAATGCCACCCATATTAGTTTGGCAAGAAGTTAATATTAGTGGATTGGCAGTTTTCAAATATAAATCTGCCATTGCTCAATGGCATGTAATTGCATAATTCATTTAACTTTTGTATAGTGATACCTGATGCTAATGATGTCTGTTTTTGTTCATCTGATCGACCAGGTTTAATTGTATCAATTTGAATATGAATATGATAGTTTTCCAGTGGCTCCAGCTTCTCAAGTACATCACTGACATCCTGAAGTGTG